ATCAGTCCTTGGAAAGTCTGGGAAAGTGRGATTAGAGCTGATTCTAGCCATGTGGACTACCACAAACATGACAGCTTGCCTTCTTCACACTGAAGAAGAGTGCTGAACTGAGTCAAAAAACTTCAATCCTTTTCTTCAAAGACAATGCAAAGTTTCCAGAGGCATGGTGTTCTTCTAGGATACTGCTCCCCTGTGTGAAAAGGGCCCATTTTCCAGGGTCACTTTCCAGGCAGGAGAAGAYATCAATTCACATTAGAACAACTCCCCATTTGCAAATAAGGGCTTAGCAYGTGCCTCCTAAATATCCCCCAAAGACACAGTTTTATGTACATTTTGAAACTTCCAGAGCTCATCTTYAGTTGTAAGGCAATTTCCTCCCTGGCAATGAATAATTGTAAGAGTTATTAATTATGCTGTGCACTTTGTTTGGAGAAGTGCTCAGTGTTCCTGTTGGTCAACGCGTCCACTGAGATTTGTGGGAAAGAACCTTTTGGTGAACCTTCATCTTGGTGAAGATAACCTCCTCCACTCCCAGTGGACTGGAACACCCCATCCAAGAGAAATATAGCGTTGGTGCACAGAATAATGAGGATTTTCTGTCTCTTTGTAGCAATTCCTTGACATTGTAATATATCATTATGAGTAACTACCACATTCTCTGTTAATTGGAAATAACCAGGAAGATGTTCAGCCTCAAGGTACCAGTTCACATCCCCTGTGTTAAACAAGTATCCAAAAAAGGCCCAGCAGCTCCTTGCCAAATGCATCTGCAAATTCRAAAGCAAATAATCTGAATCAGAATAATCAGGGAAAATAATGGAAGAAAAAAATATGCTTAGGGCTATTAAACAGAGATAAATCTGAGTCAGAAAATATCTRTACCATGCTTTTTTAGCTTTTTTACTTTCATCAACAAGGAAGAGTACAAGAAGTAGTAGCAGTAATATATATCTCCCCTGCACATCAAACAAAGATAAAAATAATATAAATAGTGGCATAAACAGATTTTTTCAGTCTTCTACATGTTAGTGTCAGCTAATAAAACAGTATTTGAAAAGCAGCAAGGTCTACACAGCAAGGCACAGCCAGGGAGTACCTGTGGAGTGTGCTAAGGCATTTGAAGCATTGTTTGAAGGGAAAAGAAGTAACCCTTAATCTGCTTATCCAGGGACACATGAGTGTAGATGTGAGTGCTGAAGCTACAGATATCCCTGGAGTTCTGACAGTAAGGAGGGGACTTACAACATCCTGAAAGAACATAACATTCAAGAATGTTTTAAGTATATTGTGGGAGGAAAAATGAATGAGAGTCARTGAAAGGAAATTTAGTGATGACTGGACTAAAGAAAATGTTGCTTTTGTAAATGGTAAAATTCTGATTTTCCAGGTGCTCTTCTGGATGTTGCTATTTGTTGCAGATGAGCGGACCTCAATTAAAGTAACTGAGCTGTGTTTGGACAGGCTTGTCTGCTCACTACAAGTTTGCTGCAGGATTAGTCTCATTATTTGAATTTCCAGCTCTTCAACAGTGTTATGCTCATAATGTGTGAAAGCAAATTTAACTGATTCAATTGGGAAAACCCTCTTTACGCCACCGAATTCTACGGACAAAAAGAGCCTTGAAATGAATTTATTAAGATATTGCACAAGCAGAACAAAATTCCCTTGGTCTCTACTGAGCTTTGGATCAGGTGCTTGTCAAAAAAAAAAAAATTATCACACAAACATAATATTTAATCTCCAGATATTCTGCTTCAGTGTAATTGAGTTCAATAGCTCCATGTTTATTATTATGGTCTGTGCCTAGAGATTAGCATAAAGAAAACTATGRGGGGAAATATCATACATACTCCCACACACCTATGCAAATATAATTATAATTGCTCTCGTATTTCACAGCAGACCATTTATGGGAATCACTGTGCCTATTCTGTCTAAAATTAAATCTGTTAAGTAAAAATCTTAGAAACAGAGCTTTGTTTTATTTAGCATTAAGCAAACATGTCCAGCTGGGATATACATGCACGCAATGAATTTATATTATAGAACAAATCTTGTCTTCTAAGCACTTCCTATACATCAGCCACATGAAAAATTTCAGTTATCAGCATCCACTTGTTGCACCTCCCTTGGAAAGACCAAATCTCCATTAAATGTACTGTTTCTTGAGCATCCCTTCACCCAACAGACCTTTGCACAGCACTGCAAATCCATGGAGGAAATGAACTCGTTCCATCCTCTCTCTGAAGCTGCATGAAGCCTTGCAYAATGGGGCTGTGGCTTATTTGGGGCCTCTGGGTATGACTGCCACACAAGTAGTGACTGACAACAAGAGATCACCACAGATCACTGGGATGCTTTGGCTGTAAGGGAAAATGAAACCTGGGCCATAAGGAGGACATTCCACCTCTGGTTGTATGTACAAATAAAGCTGAAATGAGAGGGTTTGATGAAAATCTTGGGGACACCTCGTCAATCTCAATCTAACTATTCAGACAATGGCAATACAAATAAATGATGCCGTGATTTGTGGGGAAAAAAAATGACAAAGATTTCAGACTTCCATAAATGACAACTCTCTGAAATGTACCTAAGAACTGCCCTCTTATTCTCCTTTTTCGTTTATTTTTCTTTTATTTTTCTTTT